AAAAAAAAAAAAAAAAAAAAAAAACCCCCCCCCCCCGGGGGTTGTTTTCCGAATTTTCCCCCCCGGGGGGGGAAACGAAATTCCCCCCCCCCCCCCCTTTTTTAAAAAAGGGGAAAAAAAAAACGCCCCTTTTTTTTTTGGGGGGCCCCCCCCCCCCCCCCGGGGGGGGTTTTTTCCCCCCCCCAAAACCCCCCCCCCGAAAACCCAAAAACAAACAAAAACCCCCCCCTTGAACCCTTTTTAAAAAAAAAAGGGGCTTTTTTTTTTTTTTCCCCCCCCCCCCCCCCCCCCCCCCCCCCCCATTTGGGGGTCCCCCCCCAACCCTTTTCCCCAACCCCCCCCCCCCCCCCCCCCCCGTGGTTCATCCTTGTGAAACGTAGCCTGGGCCGGCGAAAACCCGCCATATCGCCCCGTCCCGGGATGCGAGGTCAATGGTCTAACCGCTACGGCATGCGTTTACATGAGTTCACCCCCATTCCCCCCCCCCCAAAAATCGCGTCGCCCCCACCCTGCAGAACGGAAGCGGCGTTCTTGTCGCGGGGGGTACTCCGGCCGGCCCCGGGGACGGCTGGGCCGAGCTCCGGAGGGTGTACGAGGACGGGGCCTCGACCACAGCGGTGGAGTTCGATCCCTTCGAGGAGCTGCTGTGGGCCGGCCACAGCGACGGACGCCTGACTTCCTACGCGCAGCCGGACATGACCAAGCACTCGTCGGTGGCGGCGCACCAGCACGGGCCTGTCGGCCGGTGAGAAGGGGGGGGGGGGGTTCGCGAGTTGGCAAGGGGGGCGAGGGAGGGATGAAGGGGCTAGTGTGGAGGAAGAGCAAAAGAGACAATCCGGCGTGTAAGTCAGGTGTGCGTGGAGGGAGAGCAAAAGAGAAAATCCGGCGTGTAGGCAGACGATGCGTGAAATGATGAATAAGACCGTTTGCGCGTGAGAGCGGCGGCCGTACATCATAAATACACGTGGTACCCCAAATGTTTATTTTGTTTGTGCGCCTATTCGTATCTTGCGCACCGTGTTCACGTTTTTTTTTTCCTTTTTTTTTCAAAAGAGGACAAGCCACGGGACCGGACGGGGGTATCCTCGCCCTCACCGCCTTCCAGCAAGGCGTGCTCTCGGTCTCGAACTCCGCCGTCCGCCTGCACTCCAGAGGTTGTCTGCTCCGCGCGACGTTTTCCGGGCTGGTGAGCGAGGGCTTGGATAGCTGTGTTGTTTTTTGTGTGTTGGTGTTGGTTATCGTTAGTGTTGCTGCTGCTGTTGCATTTGTAGTTGTTGCTGTTGCTGTTGCTGTTGTTGTTGTTTTTGTTGTTGCTGCTGCTGCTGTTGTTTTTGTTGTTGTTGCTGCTGCTGCTGCTGCTGCTGCTCCCTGCTCCCCTTGCCACGACTGCCCTCTATCCCCCCCCCCCCCAACTCGATGCCGCCCCATACAGCAGTAGACCAGACTTTGGTTGTACAGGACATAATTTGATTTTTTCAACAACATGAGGATAGGCACGGCGGTGTTCCTTCTTGAATTGGACACGTGGTCAAGCCGAGGCACACAAAAGGTTTTAACGCATGCTCCCCTCCCCCCCCCCCCCCGACACCCAAGGTGGAGAAACCCGGCGTGCGAGGCACACCGCCCACCCTGCACTATCCCGAGAACCTCACCTGCTGCGCGCTCAACTCCCCCTCCACGATGATGGGCATGGGCGCCGACTCGACCCACGTCACGGTCGGCTCCTTCGGAGGGGGCGCCGCGGGTGGGATCCCGGGGGGGTCCCCTCCCTCCCTCTTTCAGCTGGACCCGGTGCCGGGCCTGCGGCTGGTGAAGGCGGTGGGGCTGCCGGAGGAGGCGGGGGTTACGGCGATCGCGCGCGGGTGAGTTTCACTGTTACGTTAATGTATGGCCGGGGGGGATATAGGCGGGGAGGTACCGTCATAGCGCCGGCGCACACAAGAACCGCTGCTTGTTTCGGCCGAGGCTCGTTTCATATTTTCTGTACGGGGGTACCTATCCCAACAGCGACGATATCGGTTTTTGTGTAGGCCTCTTGGCTGAGAATGCGTTGTTAAAGTTCCTGGTATGTTTTTAGCCTGCATATCTTAACTCCCAATTTTCGGGAAAAAGTTCCTGGTATTTTTTTAGCCTGCATATCTTAACTCCCAATTTTCGGGAAAAAGTTCCTGGTATTTTTTTAGCCTGCATATCCTAACTCCCAATTTTTCGGAAGTGCTGGCGCTAGCTGTACCCCTCCTGATTATTACGGGTGCTGCTTTGCCCGAAGCTTTTTTTTTTTTTTTGTAATATCACGGAACACCCGAGCGTTTTTGAGCGATCGCTAGACCATGAGGCAACGTGTTTTGTATTGTGCATGTGCACCACTTTTTTCTTCTGCCGTCGTGGCCTTCCTCTTGGCTGATGCGTGAGATATTTACGCCGAAAGACGTGTAGACGGGCGCCCGACCAGATGGGACGAACACGCACAAACGTACGTCTTTTTATATGGTCACTAGCGCGGTCGGTGCTGATACCTAAAACACGCACGCACTGCTGCATTGTTTTTTTTTTGCTGTTTCGTGCAGCGCCATGCTGGCGGTAGGCGGAAACGACGGGCGCATCCGGCTGCTGGACCCGCGCCTCCGCAGCACTAGCGTCGAGCACGTACTCGAGGCGCACACCGGCCCGGTGCAGGCGGTGGCCGTGACGCCTACCGACGGCGTCAAGGTGAATGATGACGTCACAATCATGTGAAGTTTTTTTTTTTCCTGTTGTTCGTGGAAGAGGAGGGAGTAGTTTGTTTTGTAATGCCGTCCAAGGCGAAAAAGACAGCCGCGGTTACTTGATTTTTTCCTTCAAGTTTTCGCATGCGTTTTAGTACTGTCATCTTCGAGTGCGTGCGTGTTTGTGTAATTTTGTTATTACAGTACTGGGTGTTTTTCTAGTTTTGTCGTCGAAAAGAAAACATTCATGCTTCGTAACGTGCGACGTTCGGATGTTAACTTGTTTGTATTGGTGCGCACGTACTAGCTAACCCGCTTTTCACAACACCTGGCCCGCCCGCAATGATACAACCCCGGCAAATACCCCCCCACCACCACCTGCTCCCCCCCGTAAGCGCAACGATTTTTGCCATCGCGGTTGGGTTTTCGTCGCTTGGCAGCGATGTTGTAAAACAAGCCGATCACTTCGTGAGCTCGGCAACCAGGTTACCGCTTTTTTTTTTTTGCCTTGGTTTTGTTTTTTTGCGGTAACCATGAATGGTGGTCTAGTAGATCATGTTGGGCGGGGTCGAGAACCCTCACTCCGCGCAAAGGGGATAATCGCACGTTGTGTTAAATTGGTCAAGCATCCTCGAGGCAGTTACACAGCGCTTACAACTGTCTCTGGAAGTGAAAGCACCAGAAAAAAAATTAAGTCATACGCAGCTGTCATCCGTAAGCAAGGAAGTAAGCACAAGATGCCGAAACACCCTTAGCAGGATGCAGCGCACCCTTCATGCGACTCGCCGAATACCTCACGGCGCTTCGCGCTTGGTGATGTGAGAGCCTGGTCCGGTGAGAACCCGGCGTGCTCCGTCCCGGCTTTGTAGGTATGCGAGGTCAATGGTCTAACGACTACGGCATGCACGACTACGAGTACACCCCCCCCCAACCACCTGCTCCCCCGAACCGTACACATACGTACCTCTCGACCAAACTCAGATCGTATCCGTGGGGATGACGTCCAAGTCCCTCAACCCTTACGACACCTCCGCCCCGACCGAGCTCTTCGGGGACCCCGTTGTGCGGGTGTTCGACGCCAGGATGCCCACGAGGCCCGGGCCGCCGCTGCAGTTCAGCATGCTGGGGGCCCCGCGGCTGGTGCGGTTCCTGGCGGACGAGAGCCTGGCCCTCGCCTCGTCATCTGGGCAGTTCCTGGTGTCCAAGGAGCCCTTCACCGGTGAGTTTTTTTTTTTTTTGCTGCATTGCTTGTTCGTGTATTTTCATGTTTTAGTTATTTGTACTGTAGTTGATACTTTTTTCCCACAAGAGAGCGGTTGTTGTTTTTTTCTTCGGCGGGTTTTCTATCTGTAGAGCGTGACTTTCGTTGTGTTTTTTTATCTCTTGCCAACCCGAACAAATTGCACTAATTGTTGTTGTTGTTGTATTGTCTTCACGATAAAAACCGTTCCGGTCTCCGCTCAGTACCTAAAGGAGACACCTAAAGAGAGTATCGTCGCGGTGTCTCCTCTACAAGAGGGTTTGTGTGCGTTCACTCTATTTGTCCTTGCCAAAATAAAAAATAAACTTTCGGCGGTTATCGGTGCGGTCGGTCTCTGCTATCCAAGCGGCCTCCGATGCGGGTTCCCTGTGCTTTCGTCCTTTGCTTGTTTTGTGGGCTCGTACTATACGAACAGCTGCGTCTTGGTCCACAGATTGCATTCGTTGGGTATGTACCCGCCGGAGCCTCTGCCTATGCCGAGACGCTGGCGGCAATGCCTTTCTGTCCTAGGAGAACGCTTTCACTGGCGAAGCTTCTGCGTTGAGAGTGCGCGCATTTTTTTTCATGCCCAACAACCAAGAGTCACGTTCGGTCTTCTCACCCCGCCCCTCCTTACCCTTCCCTAACCTCCCCCCCCCC